TTCACCCTTCAATTTCGCATAAGACCTAGGAAAAATCCCTCACAGCATGGGTAACCTTGCTAATATTGAGATAAAATTAAACGAGAGCCTTTCGGAACAGTTTCTCGAATTCCAAGTATACTTTTACCCATCTTATTACGATTTATATTATATTTGGCGCAGTTCGGCTCGGTGGGGGCACCAAGTGGTACTCAGTGAGGCTTGTGCAAGACATCTCGTGGAGACCTATAAATTCCTGTAGCTATAGTGGTTCAGTTTTACCGTTTCGCAGCTTCCCAGTAGTTTACAGGTGTTAACATGTTAGTCAACTTCTACTGGGAGAAGAAGGGAACTGGAGAAGGTGCAAAGCCCCCTCCATCGCTCTATAATGTGACTGAAATTCAAGTGAATCCATAGAAAGGGTTCGAAAGAGTGTCAATAGGTTTTCAGTTCCCAGACCTCGAGGAGATGGGCCCCTAATAAGGAATTTAGGAGAGTCTGGTCATCTCAGTGCAGTGAAGCATTCCTAGAGAAATTCATCATGAAGACACAAGATCATAATCATGTTGAAATTAATAGCTGCCAGATGATCCTTCTGCTTGTGCCATTCATTTCCCTCCAAATTATCGCTCCTATACCGCCATCAATAAGCTGTTCTGTTCTCCTTTGATCTAAAACACTGATTATCCCCCTCTCGCGGACTTAGGCTTTTCCCGCGTACGCAAATGCGCATGCGTAATTAGTGGGCGGTGCCAGTAGCACTGACCGATCCGCCCCTTCTGTCACCTTGCGCCCATCTCACCAAAATGGCGCACCTTTCTCAGCAATCTTTTATGTGCTTGACCTTTAGGTCTCTCTTTCTCGTGCCTCCCCTTTGAATTTTCTAAAATTAATGGCTCGTTTTCAGATGTTGCTTTTGCTGCTAATTCTGCTGCCTGTTACTGTAGCGGATTCCTTCTGGATGACAGCTGAACTGCTGCGAGTGGATTGGCGAGAAGGCTGCCTAACCACTGCCGGTTGCTCTCAACCAAGATTTAAGGTTCGGCTTCACCTCTTGGAATTTGATGAAGTTGAAAATTCCCTGAAAAAAATCATTTTTATTACAGATTCTACAAGACATGCTCCCTCTCACTGAGAAGGTGTCCATTAGCTGGCCGGTTTCTGAACATTTTGTTCAGGTGAGTGATTTCTCTCCAATTTCCTATCCGGTTCTCCCCATTGCTTTAATGGTTATTGATTGGTTCGTTCTTTGATCTGCCCGCTCAATTAAAGTACTTTAATGGCATCTGTTAATTGAGATTTACTATGTTCGGCGCTACCCGCTACTAGCGCTGTTGTCCATCCGGGTATTGTCTCGTCGCGAATTTATGACCTCGACTAGATCTTTCCCATTTGCCGACTTTACTGCCTGTCGATTACCAGTAACGATGTCGCAAATGTTGCACTCTGACCACCGTATCCAGTTGCGTTTACGTCATCTTGCGGCAAACGCTGTGAAGTACCGTAATTAGTCTGTCAATCAGCGCTTACGTAATGCGGGCTTTTGGGAACTTCCAAGTGCTTTCGGGTAATCAGCTGGGATCTCGGTGGGTCATATTTCAGTTAGACCCTCCTACCTTGGCCCTTTGAGTGAGTTGTGTCAGAATGTCCAGAAACTAACTCACGAGAAGGTCAAACTAGGCTCCTAAACATTCAGTCTGCTGTTTAAAAAAAGTTCCCGCGATCAAATGGTCCCAAAAATGCCTCCCTGCTTTTGGCATCGTTGTCCGCATTTCCCACAGAATATACCTTTCTCCCCACTCAAAACGGCGAAATAAACAAGCTGGAAACGCATAATTATCGCAACCATTGCAACCACGATTACTTCACTCTGCAAGACCACGTCTTACAGCCGTAATCGTCATGTGATAGCGTTGTCTGGAGCGTCGTAGGATGATTTACTCTTGCCTTGCCGGGGAAGTTGATGGCGCGTCTAATCCTGCTGATTGGGCTTGCTGACATCAGACAAACTCTTCCAAGGCGCCGGCTCCACTGCTAAGGGGTCTCTATACAGGGTGTTCCCAATGTTTTTTCTTCTTTCTCTACTGGGGAGTTAGTTATGGGTTACTGGTTCATGAATGAGCACCTACTACCCGTAACCCTTAATCACGAGAATTGTCTTTAACATTTGATTCAAGTAGAAGGAGTTTACTGTTGCCTTTTTTCAGGACTCAGCGCGCCCATTCGTCTCCCACTGGACGAATGGTAAGCCCGAAGACGTGACAATGTCATGTCAAGTGGTCGGCACCGACCCCACGTACGGCTTCCCACGGGTCTGCGATCAAACCCCATCGATTCGCGTATTCCAAGAGCGTATCATGGAAGCATTTGTGGTGAGTTTGAACAGTTCGTATCCCACTCATTAATGACCGTAATTAGACAAGTGACAATACCGTCTACAGCAGCTGCCATTGCGCAATGACGAGTGTTTTTGTCAGTGACGAGGAGTTATGGTGGTGACCTAACAGTGCCATGGTTTAGGGTCGAAATCGTCGTCATCAGACTACGACCACCGTGCCACTCTCCGAAGAAGATCTTGGCAAGAAACTGGTCGAAATCCGTGGAAAATGCTTCAATGCCACGGTTGCCATACAGAAACACACCGAGAGATGTCCATGGTGTCCCGATCCTTCGGATGTGACCCTGATCGAACAGAGGGTAAGCAGCTACAGTACTTCTCTTTTTCTTGCAGTACATCAGTACATCCTTCCTTCGATATTTTTATTCATTTTGCATGTTGAAAGGGGCCTAAGGCTGTACCGCACGTGCCCGCAAGACACCTTTTTTGCAGAATTATTTTGAAAAAAATTGGTTTTCCGAATGCTTTCCTCATTTGTGATTCGATTTTGGCTCAAAATGCGCGATTTCGGGAGTTTTAGTGGTTCCCTTTTTGAAGGAAACCCTATAGAGGTTATTCCGAAGTAATCGAAATTCCTCAGTGGGATTCGGCCAAGTGCACAATACCGGATAAGACACCTCTGCCCACTGATGAGAAAAAAGGTCCAGCTCAGATGATTCACCCAAAGAGCACCATATTGTAACACTTGTAAAGTCGAGTAGCTGACCCCTCTTGAATCGTCAATGTTCCACCAAATGGCGAGTGACCTGTGAGAAGTTAGCTAGAATGACCCTCGATGGGGGTGCTCAATTACGTGATGGCCGCCTGCTGTGATCACTTCTTGCGTACTAAACTACGACCATTTCAGATGCCTGATGAACCGTCTGTGCTCTCAGCGTCTATACTTTCACACCTACGTGGCGATGACCGTATTTTGCACGTTTCTATCTTGGTCCTAGCCGGAATAGCCATTATGGCTTCAATCGGTTTCGCATGTGTGCTGGTGGCGTTCCTTCGACAGAAGAGGTTTGTTTATTTCATACAATTATTAGATTTTGTATTTCATTAAATGCCTGATTTCTGCCTATTCCTTATATAGTTACACTTTATATGCTGACAAACTCTTTTATTTTAAACTTTGAGAAAGAGTAGCCTCGACACGGAAGCAGGCTTGATTGGGATGATTTCTCCACCACAAAGCAGCTACCCCTTAGGCAGCTGCAATCTCCATTATCTCTGGTTTACAATCGTTTCCTCTACCCTTACGGCTTTAAATGTCGTGCAAATATTTGAAAATAGCGTGGAACGAACCCCGCAGCATTTCGTAGCTCTCAAGGATTCTTTGCGCAAAATACCGTAACACTTACGAAATATTGCACAAAGATTACCCACAGCACCGTAGAAGTACTTCGATCTTCCCGAGTACAGGGAGCAGATATTAAAAGATGCACTTCCTTATCTCTGATTATAGTTGGGTTTCCTTTTCATTTATTGATAAGTCAGTATTTGAATTTTGTAGAAGCACTCTCCTTGAGAGTCTTTTCTCTTATGCAGATCTTATGGATAGGCTAATGAAGATCTTTATTTCCCTAATTACAATCGTTCCTCCCACTCCCGGCTTAAATACCGCTGACAATTTTGAAGAAATGGAAGAAGCGGATAAACGAACCTCCCATTCTTGTAGTCTTCAGAGACCTTTGTGCGAAATACCATAACGCCTACGAAAAATTGCACAAAATTCACCACCGCCGCTGCGAGTAACACCTGAATTTTCCTCCAACAGGCAGATCGAGTGTTTTCCGAAGCATTTCCTTACCCTTCACAAATAGATATGTTCGAATTTTTCTAATATTTTTCAATTATTCAGTTATTTCACTACACTATTTCGTTTGAATTATGAAATTCCTTCAAAGGTCATTATTCTTCGAGCTTAAATTCATATGAGAAAAACTTGTGATAGCTGATTATCACTGGCTCCATTACAGGACTCATCGTCAGATCTCCGTGAAACCCCGCTACCATCCGTACTCTCCGACCAGTTGCAAGAACTCCGACGATGAAAATCGGTACGATAGCCTTCTTCTTCGGCAGTTCGGCGCCGCCGGGGGGGGATTTTGCACTTTTGGTACTTCACATCATGCGTCGACCCATCTAGACAGCCTCTTCTCGAGTTGACAGGACCATGATGGCTTGACGAGCTTGCTCCAGCTTCACAAGAGTTCACAGGTTTCACCAGAGTGAGACTTGTAAACCGGAACTAGTGAAGCAACGAAAGTGCAAAATGCCCCCCCCCTCCCGTCGCCAAACTGCACCTTCTTCTTCTGTTTACTTTTTTTCCTTTATTATCCGGTGTATAGTAGAGCTGTTGCTGTTCATATCGCAATCTCGGTCTCGCGTACTTTTTGTAATAGTCCTCATATATCATCGCACGACGGTGAGATATGCGTGCGTGACCGGACGAGCGATGATTAATGTCCATCAGCTCACACTTTCCTTCCCTCAAGAGTTATGATTGATCTGATCGCAACACATTAACCTGGACTGACCTAATTCCATATGCTTTCAGGTACGATATGCCTTGGGAACAGACACGTCCACTCACTTATTGGATGTCGTCGTCGTCAAAATCTGAAGCAACCACCACGTCACCCTTGGACTCAGCTTCGTCACTTGGCGCTCCATCGTCAATCGTTGCTCCATACAGCTTTCGATCCGGCTGCACTATTCCCCAAACCCATCTTTACCATCACATCTCACCCAACTCTTCCATCGGACCAGGCCATGACTCTGGGCTGGAATCAGTCTAGAAGGTCCCGTTACGACCACAGGCAACAATACCACTAGGAGACACTTGGTGACTGCCAGTAGCTCAGAGATGTTCCCAAATGTTTCCTTTCAAGAATCTCAGTCGTTTTCCATGTACGGGTTATGCAGTCCGGTGTGAATTCTTTTCCTTTGTCTGTCTTTAGGCTTCTCGCTTTACTGTGCAGATCTAGCATTTGTTTGTTTTCGCATCGAATTGTGGCTGCCAATTTAGATCTATTCTTCATTGCCAGCTTATTTTGTAAATAATATTTGCAGATTGTTTATATTTTTGTAATGTATAGATACTAATAAATAAAACATTAAAATCATTTGTTGTCTTTCAAAATGGCGAGAATTCTGAATTGTACGGAAATTGCGAGAGTTACCGCAAGGATCCACGATCGTATCAACAACCGAGGAAAATTTTCTCCCATCCTCTCCAAAATTTCTCTCAGAAGGCAAATCCGACCCCCCCCCCATCTCCCCAACAAAGATTATGTTTGGATTACGCAATCACAGCCCAGGGTGCAACATCGTGATGTGTGAAATGGCGTTGTCAGTACCCGCGAAACCGTTAGAAGGGCTGTTCGTCGCGGAACACACTACCCTCCCGGCGCCATATTTTCAACATCTTCCTCTGATCGCGGACCGTGCCTTTCAAGGTAAGTGAAACATATGAATGTTCACATCAGGATACAGCGTCGTTGGGAGGGTTCTATCGGGGCCGTATTTAGTAGCTGGAAGGATGAGTCGGTAAGGCAGGGGTGAATGAGTGCTGAAGTACAAGTAAAGGAAAGATAATTGAGGTGTGGACTTTTCCGAACTACTGGGTCACATCGGCTTGCGCAGATGAACTATATGTGGAGTATATGTGGCGTGGAAATAATACCTTCCGATCATCCTCAGTGTGAGAGTCAAACTCGTGCCGCCCAAACAGAAGTGTTAAATGGACGATAAGTAAAAGATTCCCTCGATGAGTTCAACGCGGAAGTGCCCTCTGGAGGTGTACTAAATCTGTACTAAATCTTCAAGAGTATTGGTGCACCGATTTGAATAGCGCGTCTTC